TGACCAGTGGGCCCCCTTTCTTCCGGCTTCTACGGCTGCTCCGTCCTTCTCTTGTAGGGTCGGTGCTTAGGGAGAGGACTCGACCCTAGGTCCTGCTGTAAAGGACCTCAAGGCTGGGGAGGGGTTGACTTCGGGGCCATGGGCTCCACTGGACCCCGCCTGGGTTTTTCTTCCCTCTGAGCGGGGCTTGTTGTTACAAGGTGTGAGGTTTTCTTTTCCCCCTCTGCGTACGAGTTGGATTTGATGTCAGCCCCTCCTTGGGTTTAGTTCCGTGTTCCCCCGGGTGCGTCGATTCCATCTTTCCAGAGGTTTCGGCTTATCGCATCCAACCTGGTGTGGTGCAGGCAGCCTTTGTAGCGTACCTCCTGCGTGACCCAGATTTTGCCTCGGAAATGGATCCGTCCGAGTTCAGGTTTGGGACTTCGTTCCCTTTCTGGCTCCGTTACGAGGTTCCAGAGTCTTCCTGGCTAGCGGACTGCCCCTTGTTTGTTCTGGATTCCTGGCATTCCTTCTGTTGTTCCCGCACACTGGAGTGGCGGGAAGCATCCACGATGATTCAGGTTTTCCTGGAGGGGTGATCTTGAGTACCTGAACGAGTGCTTATTTGCCCCTGCCCTTCCCTGCGATGTGGGCGTTGTTCAGCTCCATGTGCAGGTTCCCACCCTTTCGGCAGCGTTCGTGGTGGAGGACTTGCGCGCCTGGGGTCTTTTGGCTTCGGCCTTGCGGTTCTTTTCCGTCCTGGAGCTGTCCTCGGATTGGCTAGTGGAGCATGTGAGGACGCTTGGGTCCGTCCCGGGGTCTGGCACCATGTCCTCAGCAGCGCGTGCATCAGCTGCTTTGTTGAAGCTATTCGCGCCAATTTTACGGGATGTGGTTTCCCTGTTTTATGCTTCCTGTCTCGCGTGTCGGCAGGCGGTGGTGGGTTCCTCTGTGGAATCTGCTTAGGCTCTGGCTCTTAGGCTGTCATCGCCTTTTTGTCCTCTTCTGTTTGAGGAGTCGGTCGTGGCACAGTTTATCCAGGTTGCGTGGTCGGGTTTTCGTCCGATGTCAGACTTGTTGGTTTTCCGGGGCTCCCGCGGTGGGTCTTCTCGAAAGGGTCGTGCCAGGGCTCGGGGTTCCTCTCGTTGTGGATGGCCACTGGTGTCAGGTTCAGGTTCAGCTCCTGCTTCGGACCCACGCTTGTCTGGTCAGCACGGTGTTCGCTCTGTGCGGGGTTCTGGGTCTCGTAAGGGGCACCGGCCCTTTCCCGGTTTGCCCCATAGACGAGGCGATGGGGGGGGGGGGGAGGCTTGCGCTATTCGCCCACGCCTGGTCCCACAATTCATGGGCGTTTCGGGTCGTGTCTGTCTGCCTGCGGTGGCATTGGGTGGCCCCCCCCCCTTTGGGGGGGTCAGGGCTGGCAGGGCAGGTTTCTTCCCCTGCGCTCTGTCAGGAAGTCTTGGAATGGGTTCGCTTGGGCGTCGTTGAAACGACGTGATCCCTCAGATGGGTTGGCATGTCCCGATTCATGTGAGATTCCAGGACTGGCTCGGTTTTGTTGTGGGATATCTCAGTTACCGCTTTCGTTGTCTCCCGTTCGGGTTGAACCTGGCACCTCGCGTGTTCACGTGCCTTACGCGGGTCGTGGTGCCCGTTTACGTCTCTTAGGTGTTCGGGTGTTGGCCTATCTCAAGGACTGGCTGGTTTGGGCTCCCAGCCGGTCGGCTTGCTTGCTAGCCAGGGATTTGGTTCTTTCCCAGCTCGCCTGGTTCGGGTTCTTGGTGAACTGGAGGAAGTCCCATCTGGTCCCCTCTCAGGTTTGAACTTGACTGGGTCTCGTTTGGGACTCTTGGATCGCTTATCTTCCCCTCCGCAGTCTCTCCTGCGGCTGCGGTCCCGTCTTCATCTGTTTCTGGTGGGCCCTCAGGTCACGCGGCGGTTGCTCGAGGGGCTGTGCGGGAGCCTGAACTTCGTGATGGTAGTCTACTCGCTGGGTCGGGTTTGGATTTGTCGGCTGTTCTGGTTCCTTCGGGGTCGCCCCTTCCGCCTCTCTCGCGATCGCTGGGTTCGACCCCCAGGGGCCTTGCGTCAGCTGCTGCATTGCTGGCATCCTCTTCAGGTTTTTCGGGGTTCAGTGCCTTGGCGCCTACTCGAGCCCTTGCTCGATGTGTATACGGATGCATCGTCTCTCGGCTGGGGCTTTGTGACCAGTGCTCATCAGGCCGGCCAGGGGTGTTGGGGTCTGTCCTTCTGTCGAGCTTTCAGCACGGGAGTTCGCGGCGGTGTGGTTTGCTCTTCGGAGGCTTCAAGTCGCCAGCGGATTGACGATTTGGCTCCATTCGGACTGCTCTCCGGTGGTTCATTGCCTGAACCACAGGGGTTCGATGCGGTCCTTGTTTCTTTGGGGTTGGTCGCTTCGGGTGACTTGTCTGCTGAGTTCTCGGGGTTTGGATCTCCTGGCAGTTTACGTACAGGGAGTGTCCAACGTCTTGGCCAACAGCCTGTCTCGCTTCGTTCCCCTCTCCACGGAGTGGATGGTCGATGACGCTTCCTTCCATTGGCTTTGCCAGACTGTCGAGCGCCCCGAGGTGGTCCTCTTCGCATCAACGTGGTCGAGGCGCCTTCCTGTGTATGCGGAGCCCTTCCCCGATCACAAGGCCATCGGGGTTGATGTCTTTCGACTGGACTGGTCGAGGTGGGGATTCCTGTACCTCTTTCCCCCAGTTCGGCTGTTGCTCCAGGTCCTGACTCGCTTGGAGACTTACCAAGGGAGAGTTGTCCTCCTGGCTCCTTGGTGGCCGGCCCAGCCTTGGTTTCAGGCGCTGCTTGCTCGATGTCCGAACCCGAGGATTTTCCCGCGGCTTCGCCTCTTTCGGCAGATCGGGCCAGTACGTCAAGTGGCTTGTTCGATCTTCTCGAGTCTTCGCGTATGGGTTTTTTGACTCGAGTATATCATCATCTCTATGGTGATCAGGTGGCCTCCTTGTTGGTGTCCCACCTGAGGGCTTCTTCTCGGCAGCAGTATGAAGTTTCCTGGCGGTCCTTCTGTTTCTTTCTGCGTCTTCGTCGTGTTAGTTCGTTGTCTGTTAGGGTGGTCTTGTCCTTTCTCTCTTCTTTGTTTCAGGACCATCATCTTTTGCCTATCACTGTCGGCTCATATCGTGCGACGCTGGCGGAGCTACTTCAGCTTGCCTTCGGTATCGATGTTATGTCTGCGCCGTTTCGCAAGCTGTCTTGTGCTTTGTTTCACCTCTGGCCTGCTCATGCACCGCCTAAGCCGTCCTAGTCTTTGGACAGAGTGCTCGCTTACCTTTCGTCTCCTCGTTTCATTGTGGCCCCTTCGGTACGTGATTATTTCTCCATGGCTCTTTTTTTGTTGGCATTAGCCTCTGGGGGTCGGGTCGGGAAGCTTCATGTTCTCAGGTGCAGGGGTTTCTGTTCTTTTGGTCGTGGAGATTGTTTTGTTCACTTGTAGCTGTCTCCTTCTTTTCTGGGGAAGAATGAGTCTGCTGCGCTCTGGAAGGGTCCATGGGTGGTTGATGCTTGGTTGGTACGGCTGGCGGTGCATCATGCTTTGTGTCCGGCTGCGGCGCTTCACCGTTATTTGTGCACCACAGCTTCTGTGTCCGGGATGCGCTTTGGGTTAATCTGGTTTCCCTTCTTCCCTGTTCGCGGGTTCGGGTCTCCCAGGTCATCTGCAGGGTTATCAAATCCAGCCTGCCTGAGGTCTATCCCCGTGCCCATGACGTCCATAAGTTCGCGGCTCTTGCTGCCGTCTTTGGAAATATGCCTTGGGCTGATATTTGGGCGCAGGGTTTTTGGCGGTCGAACAGGGTCCTGGCTGCTCGTTACCTCATGAATGTCCCTGGGCCCCGTCAGGCCTGTGTTGCTTTGGGTCAGCGGTTGCAGCCAGTTGTCTCGACTTCGAGTTGAGGAGTGAGCAACGACCGCCTCCCAGGTAAGTCATTTTTTTTCTGTCTGTGGGGAGTTAGCTCCAGGGAGCCGACGGGGCTCTCCCAGAAAACCAGCGTTGAATGTAATGAAACGCCATTTTCTGGGTGAGTCCCGGAGGCTCCCCGATATCCCTCCCTCCCTTCTGTCGACGTTTTTTTGTGTGCTTTTGACATCCAGCCTCAGAACTGAGGTGTGGGTATCCAGCGTGAAGGGTCTGGGGCTCCCCCTTTCACCCCCCCCCCCAGGGAGGGGGGAGCTGCGCAGACAGCGGCATGTCGACGTGTGACGACACGCTAGTTTGCTTGTTTTCTGTTGGAGAGTTCTATCTACTAGTTCGGCTTTTAGTAGGAATTTTAACCAGAATAGGGGTTTGTTTTGAGGAGCTAACCTATCTGGGTGCCTGATCCGGTCGATGGCAGACATAGAATGCTTCCCACCACATGGGGGTTTCTATAGGCCATTGCTCCCCTTGCGTCTCTGAAGGGGCCCGGTTCTGGCCGTGGTACCCGGTAGGCCTAAGAACTCCATACACATGACTGATGCCAAAGTCTGACATTAGCATATCAGCCTGGGATTAGCTCCGGGGAGCCTCCGGGACTTGCCCAGAAAATGGTGCTTCATTACATTCAACGCTGGTTTTTTGTTATGCGCCTGTGGGTGACAAAGGCCAAATAGCCCTTAGCAACACAAGGGTTAAACACAAATTCTGAAGGTTCTGAGGGTGTGTTTGGACATGTGCAAATTATCTGGATATGAATGGGGGCCAATTCTAGGCATAGATGGTGACTAGAGACACAAATAAGTCACAGAGATATCAAAAAGAGCTTCTTCAGTGTTAATCATCAATAAGTAGAATGGGTTAGAAGTTAAATAAGTACACAATTTTAAATTTAAATACATTAAAAACTCATGGGACCGAGTCATTGCACTAAACAAATTATTTTCATAAGGAGGTTTAGGAGCCGAACTTATACTTGCACGAACATCTAAGTACTGTATAAACATTCACACAAACACAGTTATACATATAAAGCTGTACATAAATATACAGTACAAGACAAACTTACCTTGTTGTTAAAAGAATGAAGATTTTGGTCCATGGTGGCTACAATGATGCTTTTGTCTCGTTTCAGTAAGCCCACTGGTTGCGATGTTAGCTCTGCAGTGGGTCGGCCAATTTTTGTCCCACGCTTCAGTGTGTATATTTGACCATTGCGACATGCGACAATAATGCGGTACTCAACATCGTATAAGCCAGATACTGACAGGAACACTGGTACGCTATGCAGGCTCATCTGAAATATTAAACCTTTAAACCATTGCTTCATTTTATAACAAATTTAAAATAAACAAGACTGAAAATTAAGACTACTGATTTGCAATTAATAAATCAGCTTGTGTGCTGATAGTCTATATTTTTAAATACAACTGTATTGCATAAGCAGTAAAACTTGTTTCCAGTCGTATAGTAACTAAATTTGTCTTGAATCAAGATGAATTGACTAATATACAGTATGTAATTTATTTGGGTTTGCAAGCCTTTAATCAAACTATTGAGCTGTATATTACCAAGTAATGTTCAACTACACCATATTTCAAGATAAGTAAACTTGCATGAATAATGTCATATAAAATACAGTATAATTTGAAATAAGCCTTGGTATGAAAACCCACTTTCCAATTTGCATTATTCTGTCAAACCAAGAAAAATAGGAATACACCAATAATGCTTGTGTATAAGAGCTCATGTGGGACCACTTATGATGCTTGAATCACCACTGAAAGATAAATTCAGCCAGACTAACAAATATTCATAAATGTTTGTTCTCAAGCCCAGATAACACAGCCCCAGTGACTTTACATATGTGCTCACCAATGGGAATCTCTCTCTTTCTTGCAACTAATCAACTCATATGCCTGCCACAGTGGCAAGGTGAATTAGGCATTAGATTTAATTGGCCATGTGTATAGTAAAATGTTTCAAGTGGCAGGCAAGTATGTGACATCTCTGAAACTGTTAGCTAGAGCTTTAAAACAGACCCTTCTGAATATGTTTTCCTGTCTGCATTAATCTCTCCAGTAATTTCCAAGCTCCTTTAATATTCCTACAGGGATGCTTTAAACCATTTAGCAATAGTGCCATATGTTTTCCTGCCTATCTATCCATGACCCTAGGTAAAGTACCTCTGGAAGAAGTAGATTAATATAACTAATATAACTATAAAGTGAGAAAACAATTCTTAGTAGTGCAGATGCAGTAACAGTGTCTGGATAAAATTTTCTGACAGTTCTAGATACGACAAATTGTACAGTAGGTGAGAAGATGTGTAAATTTAGTGAATAACCAAGTTTGTCATTTACCTACACAACATATCTTGATGTTTAAGAAAATTATACATGAATGAGAACATTTGTAACAATTGTAAACCTGCTGTAGCCCAAATATTTATGTTCAAAACACATACAAGATTTTTTCTTTCACAGACAGACAAGCCATCCTCCTAAGGATTTTAATTTCTTATTTTATTCTGAATTATACACTTAATGATTATCAAAGAAGCACTTTGTGCCTAGATTCTTTATCATACTTACACTGTTAAGAATTGTAAAGGCTTCTGGATCAAGAATAAAAATATTTGCACTCTCTGTTCCCAGGACCAAGCATGAGATAGCATCATCTTCAGCATGACTTTTCTTCATTGTGGCAAAACATGTTACCACAGTCTGTAAGATATTTTATATTATATAAACAAGCACAGCAAACACTTTTGATATTTAATGGAAATGTAAGAAGCAAAATTTATTTAAAAGTAAAATTTAGTAATACACTAAACTGTCTTTCAAGCATGACTCAAGAAACCAGCACTGAATGTAATAAAACACCAATTTCTGGGTGAGCTCTGGTGGATCCCTGAAGCCACTCTCACTGACGATAGTGTACCATCTACTAAGTCACATAAGCCACTTTGTTCTATAAGCCTACTGAAGACTACCACCAGAAGATGACCCCGTCACAAAGGTGCAGGGAGCAGTGACATTTATGTATTTATTTATTAATGCCACCACTGGGAAAGACAGCCAGAAAGTCAGCAAGACAAACCACTGCTGGCTTCAAAAGAGAATGCAGCCTTGAGAACCACAAAAAGAGCTCCCCAACTATTTCAATATATATCTCATGAAATCTGGCAAGAGACCCCCAATACGTACATTCAACGTTACTCTAGTGTCACAACTTCTCGTGAAGTTTGGGATAGAGGACTAAGTTGCAACGCGTGGGGGTGCCAGCAATAATGCCTCACGCAGTTCCTGAAAGGTTCAGGGGTAAGGAAATTCTGAGTGTACACGAGCTTGGTTATATGCCAGGCACAGGGCCACAGGACAAGGGTGAACATGCCTGCGTTGTCTACAAGAACACACAACGTAGGGAACGCATGCGAAGATGCATCTGCACATGAAGAGTGGTAACTTGAAGAAATAAACAAGAAAATAGACTCATATAGTGAACAACTTCAAGGGACCCTAAGGGCTAACATAGAGTTAGGCAAGGATCTGCAACTGGCAACTTCAATGACAACTCACATAGAGGAGGTTAATAAAGAACTAGAAAAGTATAAAGAAGAAATAAAAAGACACGTATGCCCAAGATGCAAAAGAGAAAGAGATGATTAAGGAAGTGTGGTTTGGAAGTCAAAACCAGAAATGACAAACAAGAAGCAGATCTTTGGTAAGCAATTAGGAAAGAACTGGTAACCAACAGTAAACTAGTACAAAACACTTAGGTAGAAGTCCATAATAATTTTTGGATCTTTAGAGAAGGAAATTTCATCTAGGGTAGACCGAGAGAATTAGGTAGGATTAGGAGAAAGCCTAAATTCAAAGGAGCATGTCAGTGATTTTAGGAGGATAGGAAAATATGAGAAAGACATATGAGAGAACTGTCCATTAAGGGTGACATTTAATGGAGTGAAGTATATAACAGAAGTGCTTCAGAATACCAGAAAATTGCAATGTTGTAACAGTAGAACTATTAATATACAAGACCATAGATCTAACATGAAATGTTGTAGTTCACTAGAAGGGAGGATATGCCTTTTATAAAAATATGGAGTCAGTGGGTAGTTGACCTGACAGGCTAGGGTCATCCCTGTCCCAAGGGATTAGAGCTCATTGTAGAAAACAAGTGCCACTTGAACCCTGTGTCGAGTCATCAAACTAGGATAATAATTCAGGCATTAAAGAATTAGTAGGAATAAGCAATTGTGGTTAAGTACTTATGTTAAAATTAACTTCAATTGAGAATAAAGAATAAGCCTCGTATGTTATCTATGAAGCATATGACTTCAGTAAGAATAGGATATCTCGTTACTTAGTAAATATGTACCTCCCAGCTTGCTTGTTAATTCATGTAAATTAGTGAAATGTAACTGCTATTGAATATTGCAATTAGCCTGGCTCACATGTCAAGATAATTCCCAATTGTTTTGGAATAATAAGTCACCTTCAGTGACTTATTATTCAGATACAGGATGTTAGTAATCTTCTTCAAAGATTAATTTGGTAACTGAGCTAAGGTCAGTCCCACATGAGGTCAGTGGAGAGATGGATCAGTGTGGGTTGAGACACCATGGGAGGTCAACATTCTCCTCTCCAGAGGCATGGCTGAACAACTGGTCTAGCTGTGGTATTTAACCCTTTAACTGTGCAACGCGCCTGCAGGCCCACATCTGGGGTGCGCTACGCGCCTCCGGGTATTTGTATTTTTCACGTTCCATTCAAAACTCCTGCGGCTACATGGGGTTCACATCAGCTTCCTCAGGGCTCTTGTAAACAGATGCCATCTTTAAAAATAAATCGTGGTCCACATTCCTGGGTGTGAGAGCCTCAGTAGTGAGTGAGCAACCAAGGCTGGCACACGCAGCATGAGCGCACAGCACTGCTGTTCAGTGTGTGATCACAGCATCGCCTAATAATGTCAAAATATATATATAACCTGTATTATTTAGCCATGATAGTATTATAGAAGAGCCTGAGTGTGATAATGACTGGGTACAATGATCAAATATCAGTGATTCGATGCTGTTCACAATGTTCACAGCGCTAGCTACAGCACCACAGCATTGTTTCGTTCATCTAGGAATCTTCAAATGACTTCTTAGGTTCCTTTTCAAAATAAACTTGTGGTCAATTATTCATTTACAGGAATTAGTGACCAGGATTGTGGTTATAATTAGCATTGTGCGTAGTATTGTAGAAGGAGGAATTTTGGTGAGGGAGGGAGGGAGGAAGGGAGGAAGGGAGAGAATTGAGGTAGCCTCACTATGTGTGGCAGTGTGGCAGCTTCTCAGGTCTTATAATACAATGTTGCACTATCAGCAAGAGAATATATATATATATATCTATAAACATGTACAAGGAAAATCAGCATACGAATGCAATAACATATATCAGTATAAATGTTCCTTGATACACAACAATGATCAATCGATCACCCTATCAGTCCTAGAACACATACAACTGTAGGTAATCCAGCCTACGACAGTAACTCTATACTTCAGTACAAACACCTTGGTACAAAAATGGCAAACTATCACTCGCCTTTCACTGCGACTTACACGCTAAAGCCAAACACACTATCAACTCCCTACAAGTGATCATTTAGAACTTTCCTTCCACATCTGGAAGTTCACTACCCTGATATCTTCAGGTTCTTCCGGACTTAACTACCAGGATCCTCTGCAGCTCCTCCAGGCTGCTACACCATGAAGTTTTCCTTGGGCAACTATGGTGCTTCACTACCTCTACTAGGGTCCTCCACAGCTCTCCTGGCTGCTACACCATGAAGTTCCCTCGAGCAACTATGGTGCTTCACCACCTCTACAGAAGCACGTGACACTCCTCTTCACTGCTTCTCCTCACAGCTCGAGGTCCTCTCCTCCACCACCTTGGAGTCTCATCAACTACTCCCTCTGTGCTGGCTTCGAAGTTCTCAGCAACTTCTTCCCCAAAGACAAACCTGCAACCCATTGACACTCCAATAAAAATGTTTCCTTATAAACACATAGACGAAATAATCCACACAATGTGTTTGCATCTAACATCTATCCGCTCTCTACATGCAGTGAGAGTGGACTCCCCCATTGGGCTGGTCCATGCTCCACCTCGCCCGGCGGGCCTCACTCACTCTGGGAGGGTCCTCCGCCGCCAGGCAGTTGGCTTCAGGCGGTTGACGGGAGTGGACGTGCTGCTCGTCCCTCCAGCTGTTCCTCCCTCTCCACTCTCTTATTTTAGGCCTTCTGCCTTATCAAAACATGTCTAACTTATAAATAACATTGCTACTGTCGCTGGGCACACGACGAAACTACAAGCAATCACTATGAACTGGCTTAAATCGTGCTTACCACAGATTGTCTAGTCGAGGGCGATATCCCTCTGACGGCGTCTGGTCAGGGCGCTCCACACAGCCCACGAAAATGTCTCTGGGCAGCTTAATAAACTCCCCTAGCTGTCCAGGACTTGAGACCACAACGTTCTCAGCTCAATTCCACAGCTGGCACGGCTACACACTTCTCTTCTCTTGGAGATATATCACTAGGGGTTCCTTTCTGACGGGAGCTCAAACGGAGCGTGGCTTTCCCCCTGCGATGTCTGGCCTCAAGTGAGGTCAAAGCCCTCCAGAATCGAGCCTCACGCCTCCAGCAAAATATCCACATCTCCTAACCAGTCATTTATCTATTTCCTTATTTACTGCCCATAATCTCAAATTGTTCATTGAATCCAACAAACTATTTTACATCTGTGTTATCGCCTCTATATTTCCTATACTTTCTAGTTAGGTCAGGCTTGTTGAATAACTCTCGAAGGGAGACTCGTTTCTCCTGTAGGCTGAGATCATAACACAGTGTATAGTCTGTAAATAGATAGTATATACAGTGGTACCCCTGTTTAAGAGTTTAATTCATTCCTGGAGACAGCTCGTATTCTGAAAACTCGTAATCCGAAGCTAATTTCCCCATAAGAAATAATGGGAAATGAATTAATCCGTTCCGGACTACCCAAAAACCTCACTTCAAATTAAATTTTATAACTAATTCATCTAAATAAATCTACAAAATTATGTTCAAGTTATTACTTACCCTTGCTGATGACTGCTGTTGGCGTATGGAAGATGGTGAGTAGGAGGGAGGAGGGGAGGTATTACTGTTTGGAAGGGGAGTCCCCCTTCCATTATAACATCAGGCAGTGAGGACTTCACTGGTGTGCACTCTCTGGCACGTTTTGCCTGCATACCACTAGGACTTGCTTGTCTTACTAAGAATCTGTCTAAAGACACTTGTTTTTCCCTACAGTTTAACACTTGCCTGTAGTAAGAAACACATTGTCATTTAAAAGGTCAATGCAACAACCTGCTACAGCTTTATCTGGGTGAGTTTTTTCAACAAAACTTTGCAGTTCTTCCCATACTTCACACATTTTCTTAATGAAGAAGGGACATCATCTACTGCCTCTACTCACAGCTACTTTCTTCGGTTGAACCTTACCACTGGCTTTCTTGAGACCCATGGCGAGATATATAATAACAACTTTTATGCTCAAATTGCCAAAAAAACGACAAAAAACCAGCATTGAATGTAATGAAACGCCATTTTCTGGGTGAGCCCTGGAGGCTTCCTGGAGCTTATCGGACTAATGTATGTTATATTAGACCGTGACATTAGCTAAGGAGT